CGGCGGCGGCGGCGGCGGCGCTGGAGGAGGCGGTGGGGGAGGCGGAGGAGGAGGAGGAGGAAGAGGATCTCAGGGGAGTAAATTCAGTGGAGGGGGAGGTAGCGGAGGTGGGAGGGGAAGACATGTCCGTTCCTTCACCAGGTAAATCCACCTGGGCAATAACTGCAGCCTTTCATGGCAACATATGGACCAATCAGGATATTATATATACTGTCTCCATGGAAACGTGGTGGGATGATGTTGTCACAATGACGTACCGAGTTTGTGTTGATGTTTTATGTTTTGTTATGAGTTGTATTTGGAGAATAAAGGTCAGAGCAACTGAGCGTACGCTTTGTTTTTTTTAGACAAAATGAAATAATGATTTTAAGGTTAACTGTTTAAAGTTAACACGCTTTTATCATTGCACTTATTAGCCTTATCGTGCTTTAAATAGAAATGCAGAATTACACCTCATTCAAGGTTCTCCTAGGTGCATGACAACAATGGGAAATGAGAGCGTGAAAAGACTGCATTGCATCCAGGGCAGCCATTTAAAAAGTGTTAAGATAAACGTTGGCGTATTGAATAAGTTAAGGCGCGGACAAAGTACATATTTGTGTGACAGTAAGATGCATAATATACAACCCAAGTTGAACCCAAAATACGTGCCTTTGCAAACTGCAAAACCAGGACCTCCAGTTCTTACAGGACACTCAGAACCATACGTTCTTAAGCCAATGTAATCAGACCGATCACTAATGAGGAAAACATGAATCATTTAGAATTCAAAGAAATTGCCTTTAACACACTTTTTTTAATTTAAAAACCTGAGGGATGCAAAATTCAGGGCAACATTTTCTGTCAGCAGATCATATCAGTGGTTAGTCTACAACATGTATTAACCTTTCAACCACAACATGGTTCATTCCACAGCAGATCATCTATATGTTCTTTACCAAATGATAAGTGATGAGCCCCAACATACTGTGAAAACACTTTAATTACTAAACAGCCAAATATAAGAAAAATATGCATTTAATCTTTTCTGGAAGGGTTAACTCCCCAGCAGTCCAGTCTCCCCTCAGATGACCGTCACCTCCCGGTTCTTCCTCTTGATGCAGTCCAGAGTCAGGCTCCTGGTCCCGCCCTTACGCGTCCCCTCACCCAGCAGAGGGGAGGGGGGGGCTCCTGTTATGGGGCTCTGGGCTGAATGTAGAGACAGACTGGAGGCATGTAGAGAAGCCTCCCTCTGCTGGGGTCTCATTGGCTCAGTGTGGAGCTCCCACCCAGGGGTCTGATGGTCCACAGGTTGCTGGCTCCTGATTGGCTGCAGGTCTCTGAGCAGCTCCAGCAGCTCCCTCTTCTCCAGCTCGGCCTCAGCCAGCTCCTGCCTCCTCAGACGCTCTGCTCCTAGCAGCGCTCGCATGTCACACATCACACGGGACAGCTGGTCCTGAGAGGAGAGGCCATGAGAAGATCACTGAGCATGCATGTTATTGACAGAGGTGGATAACACATGTAGGTCTTAAAAGTAGTTCTACTTGAGAAATATGTATTGAAAGAGTAATAATTGGAGACCAACATAAACAAATAAACTCCCTGGACAATTGTCACTTTAAAGTACTAAATTATTCATTTCCTTAACAGCATTTATTTAAGAATAATTTTCCTATTGAATCTCAACTTTAAAAACCATCTATAGTTCTTTCTCCCTCATAAATATAACATAATAATTATTTTAAACATTGTACTTAATACAGAATTGCAACTAAAGTGTAACTGAAATTAAACTAACATCAACATTTCCAAAAAGACTGCTGATTAAGATCATCTTATGTGAAAGTATGCCTCTTAACCTCTTATTAAGAACAAATACTAAATGAATGTAAAAAATATGTTGTGGAATATTCAAAGGTACTGTTAATGTTAAAATGAATCAACCATTTTTAAATGTGCTGTTAAAGCTCTCACTGGGAACTTGATTAAATGGCAGTCCCTTGAATCTTTACTTCAGCCTTGCTGTTAGTACCTTGAAATACAGAGGAGTTAAAAACATGAGACTGGTCACCTTGAGCTCCTCCACGTCGTTCTTCAGCTGCGACTCTTTCTGCACCATGTGTCTCCTCTGCGAGTCCAACCGAGACTCCATCTCTCGCCTCACCTCCTCCACCTTGCACAGCATCTCTGCCCTGCCATACGCATTCAGTAGGACATTAATTACTAACAAACTAAACTGCAGCAATTACTTCTGAGTTAAGGATTAAGAGACAGTGAAGCCATTTTTACAACCACACCTGAGCATCTCCACCTCTGTGCGCAGCTCTGCTACACAGTTGTGTTGTGATTGGTCGATGGGGAGCAGTGTGTGTCCGCAGCCGTTGAGACACTCCCTGCTGCGGAAGTTACACTCTGACAGGTGAGCCTCCAGACCCCGCCTCTCCACCTGCACAGGACAACCTGCAGGGAGCACAGATGGATAGGCGCCACATGAAGCACCCATGCACACACTGTCTTTCAATCTATATATATTTTTTATTCTATTTATTTTAATTATGCCAAGATATATTGAATACTGTAATATCTTGATAAGCCACTTTTGGATTCTAACCTCTAATGCACAATATTTCTTTAAATATATTTAATTATATGTTATTAAAATAAAAATCAATACATGTCATTTATACTAAAGCAGAGTTTAAAAAGGAAAAAATAATGTGGTATAAGGACAATATGTGAAACAGTTTTCCACCGCTAACATATTGACCAACCCAACTTCCTTCACTCTTCGCTGCACTTTTGTCTCATTTTAGACCAAATGGGATACTTCTTAAAGATCACAGCAGTCACAGACAGCAAAATAAATATCAGGTAAAATATTGTGTAAAATGTTCTTTTGCTTTAAGTGCTTGTAGTACTGAACACTGCAAAAAGCCACACTGCATGCACACACACTGTAACTGTACCTACCACAGCGGTAACATATGTACTCTCCACCTGCCAACGACAGGTCACAGACACAAAGTGAGCACAAGAGCATATGCTTGGATATACATACACACTTTTAAATTGCTCATTAAAGAGTGATGGAAAGTTGACCCTGAATGCACTTTGTGTGAGGTCTGTGGGAGTCCCATAGGTGCACGAGTTTGGGAGGTAGCCATGACAACAAAAGAGCCACCTGTTGCTCCCACTCACAGGTGTCACATTACCTTTATATCCCTCACGTCCACACATGGATAACCATTCAAGAAGATACAAACACTGCTGATAAACACAACAAATAACACATGAGCTCAGTGTGAGGTATCATACCTGTGTTTGAGCAGGAAATGAAGGCGAACTCGCACTCATCCTCATGTGTGTGCAGGCTCTCCAGGGAGCAGACCACCTCACAGCCCTGAGCTGCATTCACACAGCGGAGCTGCAGGCGGTTCAGGTCATTACGCATGTACCTGCAGAGAAAATAAAGATAAATAAAGGTGAGCACAGAGATCAGTACATGTGTCAACCACTCAATAGTAAGTAAGTAACACTTTATTTTGCACCCTTCTCAACACGGATGTACAAAGTGCTTTACAGTACAGTACACAGGACACAATTCAAAGTACAACAATAACATGTAGAATAAAAAGCATAAAGCAGCAGCAGGTAATACATAGGATAAAACATACGAGAAAACACCAATAAAACACAGCTATTAACTCACCTCCTCCGACGACCCAAAGGCCTGTCGGAAAAGGTGGGTCTTTAACTGCCCCTTAAAAATCTCTACTGAGGCAGAGGTTTTTATTATCTGGGGGAGTTTGTTCCAAAGCCTTGGGGCCACCACCTCAAAGGCACGGTCCCCCTTAGTCTTTAGCCTGGTTCGGGGCACCCTTAGGAGGCCTTGCTCACAGGTCCTCAGGGCCCGGTTTGTGATGTGAGGGTGGATCAGGTCATTGATGTAGGCTGGGGCTTGGCCAGTAAGAAGGACATGTGAAACCTGCAGGGACAGTTCACCACAAAATCAGAAACCGCCTATATATTTCACCTACCTGTATTTGAGTCATCTATATTGTTTTGGTATGAGCACAGAATTTTTTTTTTTTTTATCCTTTTAACAAATATTATGAGGCTCTGTATATATTATGCGTAAACATATACATTTTTTAAATATTGTCAAGTGACACTTGATTATATGAGTGTCTCGTCAATGAGCAGAAGCATGCTTCCTTATGCTTTGTAGTAGGACTAGGACTCGTGCAGTACAAAGAAAATTATTCCTAAATGAAAATGCTCACAAAAAAGTGGATTATCTTCAGTAACTGTGTCATGATTTCTGGACAGAGATTTTTTTAATGTACATGTTTGGCATTTTGAGCTCCACAAGCTGAGTGCCATGTAGTTCCATTGCATTTGAAAGAAAGCAGACATCTTTGGGCTCATATCTCCAACAATCGGCATGTCATAACCACAACAAGTTAGATTGATAAATAGAACTAAAGGGGAGAGGAAACATATTAGTTGTTTGTATTTTGGGGTAAACTGACCCTATAAGAATGAGCATTACAATAAAGAGTTAATAACTGTCACACATTTACAGAGACAGACCTGTACAGTGGTTTGAGACTGCCCACATCCAGGGGCATCCTGTCCTCGGGGCAGGAGTGGTGATGGAGCAGCCAGCTGCTGATGCAGGCGCTGCAGTAGGCGTGTTCACAGGGCGCCTGCAGGGGGCGCTCCAACACGTCTCGACACACACAGCACAGGAGACCCTCATTCACATAGCCTACAAACCTCTCCAGATCATAGCCCATCCTACAACCACACAGACCGATTATACAGAAATGGCAAAGGTTAAGGGAAGAACACAAATATCTCATCTGTTTCTTCTTTGTTTGAAGGCAAGACACTGCAGGCAAACACATCTATCTTTCATGGTTTGGTAAACAGAGTTTTTTTTTAATGGTTTGGGGTAGGCCTATATGTGGCTTCCAATACATGTCTACATTTAGATAAGCGAAATAAGAAAACCTCCAAAATCAACATTCATGTGTTTATTTTACGTCACTTTGTCTGTAGATTTTCCTAAATTCACTCAAAGTTAGCTTTAAAGCATGCCTCATTTGCATATTTAAATAAAACACTATATTTCACTTAAAGTAATCAACTGGGGAAGTTTTATGGTGAATGTTCTTAGTTATATGTTAACCATATTAACTTGTCATGTCTTGCTTAATGACATTATGACATTTTAAAATAATTATCTTTAAAGGGAATTTTCTCAGAATTAGTTAGTTTATTTTACTTTAAACCAGAATTTCCTCTGTTAAAAAAACGTTGTACAAAAAAGTTGTACGTATGTAAACAAAATGAAAACAACAATTGGGATCCTGGCTTTATTTTCTACTTCTGGTTCAATAAATGTTTGCAGGTTAGTACCTATGTAATGCCTATTAGTTGTATACAATGTAAGCAATCTACTGGGGAAGTGTCATGGTGATATCTATTAGATATAGTTTTTTGTTTACCTTTGTCACCTATAATGTCTCCCTTAACCATAACAACCTAAAATAATTACAATAAAGTTCCTACCTGACAAAGGAACTTCATCAAACTCGTTCTTCTTCTTTCGTTCTGTTAATTTGAATCCACTTGTTCCACCTCAAGAGATCTTCCCTCTTATCTCTGCACAACTACAACAATCTATTTGTCTTCATTCTCTCTTTTTGACTTGTGGCTCCATCAAGGTGAGGGTCTTCTTTCCATTAAAGCCCTCCCCTCCACCTTTGGGAGTGTGTCTCCATGGAGAGGTATCCCTGACAACCAGCATTCAGGACACAGGCAGACAGCTGTCAGACGAGATCAGATCAGAGACTCAGGCAGAATTATAGGAAAACAGACACCCAAAAAACAGACACATTCTGCAGAAGTGCGTTTTTCATCATTGTTTCACCAATACATACAATACAAGATTGTGGTGTCTTCAGAGATTACTGCTGTCCTTCCACTGTTTTCTGTCTGTCACACTACTCTACATTACTCTCTCACTCTCTGGATGTGGGATTAACATGGATTACACTCTCTCTCTCTCTCCCTCTGATTGGATTACAGACTACACAACGTCAGATGACACATAGTCAGACCACAAAAATCAAAAAGCACTCCATATATTGTGAACCTAAAGCTCTGACAGACTTACTGGTGGAAGAAATAATCAGATCCTTTACAAAAAAGAGACGAAAAGGGGCCCTCCCATAATGTAAATCATATTCAATTACAAGTGAAATAAATGTGTCCATTGACCTATCCAATGAAGAAATGTCATACTTTGTCTTCGCTCTTGGGAATGAGATGTGCATTACATGTTTATTTTTTTCAAACCACAAAAAAATGTGTTTCTTACTCTTTCTTTAAAACAAAGGAAAGGCACCAGTAAGTGTTATATCACTTTTATTGGTTTGAATATATGATATATTTGAATATGAAGTCAAATTAACAGTTTCCCCTTTTAAACCACTTCGACTGCAATGCTTATTTGTTTATGCTTTATAGCTATTTTACCTTGCATAGACTTAATGACTTTATGAGCAAAGGACCTTTGGTGAGGGGCGGGGCGGAACTCTCGGAAGTCATTTCAAAACAAAAGCCCTCGTCTGGTAAACGACAGTAGCTACTGACGGTAAACGACAGTAGCTGATAGGTAAAGGTTTTAAGATATCGTTGGACATAGGCCGTTGAGACCGGCTTAAATGCCTTTTGGAGCCTATATTGTTAAGAATAGTGTACTAAGTGTCTTTTACCACAAGAGGGCTTTTGTTATGAAATTACTTCAGAGAGTTCCGCCCTGACCCTCGAACAAAAATAATTTGGCCATTTAATATTGAAAAATCTAAGACAAAAAAGCAATTTAATGGTTTAAGAAAGAAAAACAATTGATACAAAGGTACCCGGACTCGTGCCCCTGACTTTACCCTTATTGGAAGTATCATAATAATAAAGATATGCAAAACCTAACAAACGTAATCCTCTCAAGATTGATTCTGATGTTTTTAAAGAGGGGACGTGAGGTCAGCACAGGGTAGTAATGGGTGTGCTCGATATTTAACCCAGGGAATGACAGAACGGGGAAATTCAATGTTACCGTGAAATGAAAATTACTACGATAATAAAATCAAGCGCACCCAACTACATATGACCACGCCCACTGCCGTGGTTCAACCAATCACGATCTTCAAATCATTCAGCGGGAGAACCGGGGAGAACCCGAACAGAATCGAGAGTTTTAGAAAGAAAGACAGGACGATTGTTTTTTATTGGAAAACGCTAGTATTCTATCATCTTAAATGTTTTCATTAGACGTTTAGTCCGACCGGGTATGTACGACACGTTGTCACCCATTATCAAACATGACATTATAAAGCCGAGTTTAAATATTGTCACAAGTGTTAGCGATTGTTGTTAGCTTGCTGGGAAACTAGCTTGCTAACATGTCACTCACTGTGATGCAGAGGGTTTATGCAGGTAGATCTTGATCCTTTAGTCATTTTAAATTAACCAGGTGTATCATGTCCAAGCCTTTCAGAGAGGTTGGAAATGATAGAAAGCTTAGGGTTATACTATTGTCAACCAGATTAATATAGAAACATATTGGGAGTGAATAGCATTAAGTCATTACATGATGTCTATTCAGACAAGTAGAAGACACAGTGTTAACATAATAACTATTAGACTGATCTAGAGTCAAGTGACACCAACATTATAATGTAGATTTTGTTTCTTAAAATCAGTAAAACTAAGAAACTGACACGTGATTTTTGAGAACAAAATAATATAACGTACATGCCCATCACACTCTACCAGGGCAAAATGTGTGTCTTAATAGTAACATAACACTGGGTTGAGCTGTAATTGTGATGGTACAACTAGAATTATTTTTTAATTGTGTATTAAAGCTTTAATGAATTTGATCATCATGAAGTATTATGAGATTTGTATTTCCCTTTGTCTTGGTCTGAATGTATACATAAATAGTTTATCATCTTCCTGTTGAGGACGAGGCAACCAACACTTTAATAGAAAAATCAAGTTTGTTATTTAGTTGAACAAACATATTTGTAATTTTGTCAGAGCTTCGATAGGTCCTTGGGTGTAGTGCCGACTAGAACCTAATGAGTTGCCGGTATCAATTACTGTATTAATAATAATGCATTTCTATCTTTAGGATATAAACGATTGTTAGTTGCCAGAAGCATCATGCGACGCTCAGGAGCTCCCAGCCAGCTCTCAGGCAATGCTGTGAAAAAGCCTCGGTTTGTTTCCCCTGGAGCATCTCCTTCCTTTCTCACAGCTGAATTCAAGCCCCTTAGCCCTAAACTTGGTTTAGGCAATGCACTGGAAAAGGTAACATTTTCACAACATTTAACCTACAGTATAATATTTCAGTATTCGTTTGATTCCCTTAATCATCATTTATCATCCAGTGTTGTTGTTTAATTTTAATTTGCCTTCTTCTCATTCTGCAGGTCCAGAGAAGTCTAACAGCACCAGCTTTGGGTAAAACAAAGTTTGATGCCCAGCCCAAAGCTGCCCATCCTGCTCCAACCTTGTCAAGGGCCCTGGCTCGTGTTCTCAGTGTGGCAGAAAGTAAGGAAAATGAGGCAAAACATCCTACCACTGTCTCAGAAGAGTACTCCGAAGACAACGGACCCGAAGGTAAGACACAACGACTTGTGGCTGGGATATTACGGGCAACAGTAGTCATGTGCAGATTGTGCAACGAATCCACGTTGGAACAGGTGCTGTCCCTGCTGCTTTTGTTATAGGTAGGGTTGTGTAAAGTACTGTGAGAGTGAGGGGAACACATATTTCATTAAATGCTTCTTGTTGTACCTATTTCACTATTACATAATATGCTATCTGACATCATCTGCAATACAAAAATGAAAAGGCTGTCTGGAAACCTACATATCACTGAACTACATATTAACATATTGGGAGATATGACAATTAGCTTTGAACATGGTCTACATGTGTATGAACTGATACAAAAAATATCAAATCGTAGTAGTATGTTCTTGAACCCAATAACAGAAAAAGAACGGCTTGATATTGTCAATACTCAACACAGTAAACAGTCCAAAGTTTATTTAGGACTAAGTATGAATATTGTTAAACAAGTTGCACCAAACATTGTAGCCCCCCTAGTAAATATATGCAATAAATCGTTCCAACAAGGTATTTTCCCCAATTAAATGAAAATCGAGAAGGTGATTCCGGTTTTCAAATCTGGTGATAAATTAAGTCTTAATAACTATAGACCCATTTCTTTACTGCCACAATTTTCAAAGATTTTGGAAAAACTCTTCAACAACCGTCTGGAGCTATTCCTCAGCAAATGTAATATACTATGCCCCAGCCAATATGGATTTCAGAAAAATCACTCTACTTCTTCAGCAGTAATTGAACTGGTTGAAGAAATTACCAACAACATTGAGAACAAAATTATTACAGCTGATATGTTCATTGACCTTAAAAAGGCTTTGGATACTGTGAACCATACTATACTGTTACACAAATTAGAACATTATGGCATAAGGGGTCAAGCAAAAGAATGGGTCAAGAGTTATCTGATAAATAGGCTACAATATGTGGATATAGACGAGGCGAAATCAAACAAGCTTCCTATAACATGTGGAGTCCCTCAAGGATCAATTTTAGGTCCAAAACTGTTTCTGATTTATATTAATGACATTATCAACACCTCTGACCTGTTAAAATTCATTTTATTTGCCGATGATACCACCATTCTCTGCTCCCATCATAATCTTGGCGATCTTGTTAAAATTGTGAATGCGGAATTAGAAATACTATGTAACTGGTTTGCAGTTAATAAATTATCCCTTAATGTGGCCAAAACAAATGACATGTTATTCAATACAAAGTGAGAGTACAAATGACTGCATTATACGGATTTGCAATACCGAGATAGAAAAAGTTGGTGCATGTACATTTTTAGGACTGCTTGTTGACGAAAAACTCAACTGGAAGCACGATATCAATTATGTACAAACTAAACTGTCAAAAACAATAGGTATTTTGTATCATACTAAGAACATTCTCTAGGAACAAATACTCAGAACTCTTTATAACAGTCTATTTCCCTTACCTTTACTACTGCTCCGAAATATGGGGAAACACGTACTCAACAAATCTACAAAAAATAAAATCCCAAAAAAAAGTATTGGTGTTGGTAAATATGAACATACAACTCCCATATTTAAAAAAACTCAATCTATTAAAATGTGTTGACATAGTAAAGCTTAAAGCAGTACTGATTATGCACAACATTTTCCATAACAAAATGCCTAACAACATTCAAAAGCAGTTCCAAACCACAGTCAAGAAATACCCAACTAGGCATCCTAACTGGTTGTGTAGCAAGCTCTGTAGAACAACCATCAAATCACAGTTTATCCATAATCGGGAGTTAGAACGTGGAATGGACTTCACCCAGACATGTCAAGTATCACTTCTCATCAACAATTCCAAACTAAATTCTAAAAATGTATATTTGCAGATTACTCCAGCTAACAAATATTGGGTATTCCCAGAAACACATTTTTTTTTGGAAATAATAACTTCTCAGTTTGTTTATTTATTTAATATTGTTTACATTACTTTTTATTTATTTGTTCCTTCTTATTTATTTTCATCGTTATGCGGTTTAATTATTATTTCAGGCCTGGAAATTGCCTTGTAATATTTGTATTGGTGTATGAGTGCATTTGTGTACTTATACACCTGAACATATGGTGCTTATGTATATTTTGTGTATGTGTGAACACACAAAAAGTCAAAATAAGGGTCCACAATGCTTATATGCATATATTATTATATGCCTATATTATTATACTTAATTTCTATACGTGACGCAATAATGGCAATGTTATATTAGGATGATTCTCGGGAGGGCTACGTCCCATAAGCTATGCTTCAGCCCTTCCGCTTCTACTAATTCTGTTTATCTTTCTTTTTTGGATGAATTAGTAGAATAAATAATTAAAAAACAATACCTTTAGCTAAATTAATTAGTGCACAGTTATTATCTTTGGTTGCAGAATCTTAAAATGTATGTGCGAAATACGTATTTGTTGTTCATTCAGTTCCTTTTTGGATGCAGAAGGCAGTCTGCTTTCACTCTACACAACCACTGTAAGATCAAACCAATAACGCTTGCCCCCTTCTCTCCACATGGTTTTACTATAATCACACAGTTAGATGCATTTGTAAACATCACCTCCACCGTCACATCATCGATGCTTTTCCTTGATTTGACTACTCTATAATAAACCGGCAAAGTTGTGCTCCAGTTAAATGTCCATTGAATGGTTTTCACAAGTTTATACGTAAAATCCGTGAGAAGCCGCATCATGTAACACCGCTCTCCCGCAGTGCCCGACTGTCCTGCCTCTATGGCTAATAATAACACTCACACACACAAACACACACGAGGGCTGGATTTTAAACCGGGCGGGTTGAGTGACAGCAGGTCCAGCATTATGTAAATTTGCGGGGTAGTGCAGCGGCAGCGCGGGGAAGATTAGGACTGTGCTCGGGATCAGTGAGCCGCCTCCTCCTGCACGAGCAACTAGTGCCGCTGTTTTCCTCACAAAACACCACTTTGTGTTCGCCTCAGTACCCTTTCTATTCGCATTTCCTAAACACATTTTTTAATCATATGAATCGTTATTTTTGTAACCTTCCTTCACTGTAGACGGCTGGAAATTGATAAACGCTGATATTCCCGCGGGCACGCGCAGCTCGCTCGCAAACCCCTCCCCCTTCACATAGTTAAACCAGCGCTACATCAGAGCGTCACTCACTTTGGGAAAATAGACCCCCTGACCCCTAATAACCTGTAATAATACACTACTTAAAGGCAGTGTTACACATTTGTGCAGGACACAGAGTTTCTGTTGCCGTCCCTATTTTCTAATGTTGAGGCAGTGCTGTGCTCTGTGCTCTGTGCTGTGCTTGGTTTGGGTTTTAGAGAGACCGAGCTGTAAGTAGGTCGGGCTGGGCTTAAGCGGCTTAACTACGTCAGCCTAAGCTGGGAGGAATTCATCCAAAGCCCTCCGCGGTAGGCGGGGGCCTAAACGAGGCTGGCCTAGTTAAGCCTGATTCTTATTGTGTGCAGCACAGGCTGTTTTTGTTGTGCAACGTGGCTGAGAGGGAACCTAGGAGTAGACTTTAAATCCATGCACATTTTAGAAATAGCATATGTTTCATTTAGAAGGTACATTTGAGATGTATGGGAATGAGCATAGTTGGTTTTATCACCGTGGACCAGGATAACCCAGCAGCAGGGACAAAAAAGACAGGTGGGAAGAGTAAGGAGCGTCAGTTTTGAGAGTGGCTGCTGAACGCAGTAAGCCATAGGCTGGACTTGGCTTACGAGGGACCGCTATGCTATAAGATGGCATCCAGCTCTGTGTTTTTGTCCAGTATGGTGGGTAAAGCTCGCTCGTCCAACTTCACCCTCTCTGAGAAGCTGGACCTGTTGAAGCTGGTCCGTCCTCACATCCGCATCCTGGAGGAACACACCAACAAGCATGCAGTCATCGTGGACAAAAACAAGTGCTGGGAAACTGTTGCCGAGCTATACAACGCTTTGGGAGGAGACAGACCCCATCGCACCGCTCAGGGCCTCAGAACCCTCTACAAGAGGTTGAAGGAGTCAGCCAAGCAGGAAGTGATGCAGCGGAGACACGCCCAGCCAGAGTACAGATCGAGCATCTCTGAGCCTACCAGGAGAATCATGGAGATGATCCCTCACCTGTTTCAGCACGTGCCCATCCATGAGAAGGACCAGGCACTGCGCAGGTACAGTGTGATATGCACCCACGAGCACATACACTCATTTAATACAGACCTAAAGGTTTAACTCGACAGTCAGCTGAAAGTTTAGCAAGAACATTGACAGTTTTAAGTCAGGACACTGACTCATCTGTTAGAGGAGAGAGGGGAGGGGCTGAACTCACAGCTCAGAAACCAACTTGATAACACACTCTGTGTACATCGTCAGGCACAACAGGAAAATACAGTATGTCCTGTTGTTATTTACTGGAAGAAAACTACTCATTAGTAGTTTTTTCTTTTATCCACATAAAAAAACCGATTTTCTTTGATTAATCTGCCAATTTAATTTAAGGTCAATTGTAGTGTTTTTATTTGTTTGGAAAAGGCAATTGCAAATAAAAAATTCCACCCCAAAAGAATTCTTTAAACGTGTTCCAATTTTCCAGTGCTACGTAAAGGAAGCAAATTTGGCAGAACAACTGATATTGTGTCATGAAAGCACACAGAAGACAAAAAACCCTGTAGTTTCATTTCAGTTTATTTAAGACTTGGCAAGGGTTAATAGCAAAAAAAGAAAGGATAATTCGTAATACAAAAAACAGAACAATTTATCATTCAACTTAAAAAAAACATTCATCTGAACTGTGTTTTCTGAGCCTGTGTGAGTACAGAGAGTCATGTACACTTAAAATTGTACATCAGATGTCTTAGGATGCCTCACCTCGTCACATGTAGGAACCACAGAGAATACAAAATGGCACCACGCCATCTGCATACTTGAAGCAACACCTTTATTGTATCGTGAGAATTGAGCCTCTGCATACTACTCGTTGTGTAGCTGCACCAAAAATGAACCATAGACATAAAAATGAAAAATGTTATTTACTGTTGGTAAACAGTACTGTTTACCAATGTAAAAATAACACATTTATGCTGGTAACAAACCAGCATAAATGTGTTATTTTTACTTTGGTAAATTGCCAATTTCCACTTGTATTGTCTTATTTGACAGTAGATCCTTGAAAAATGCTGGTTAAGCACTCTCGTCTGACTTAATTGTATCCTTTATTCCATTTGTAGATTAATATACAGCAAGCACAACTCTCCTGTGGAACACCCTGGCAGCAGCTCCTCTCTGGCTGGACTCCAGGATTACTCAGCAGCTGTCCCAAGTATCCCCGATGAGGTGGTCCAGCTGGACCCTGAAGAGGATGTAAAACCACCGCCAGACCTCCCCATCCTCTCCACACACTCGGAGCCAGGGCTGGATGGAGGCCAGGAGCCGGAGGCAGAGCACGACTTGGGCAGCGTTCACGATTACGAAGTATCCCTCTCCCCCGTCACTTCCTCCGTGAACATCACCCTCTCCACATCGCCGATACCGTTACGTTGCGACCTCTTTCCCAACGACCTCTACCCTCACCACGAACCCGACAGGTTTCGCTCTCTGCACCTCGCCAAAGAGGAGCACGAGTTGGTGGTAGCCAATCACAAGAAGGTTGCCCTGTACCTGGAGGAGAAGAGGGAGGGGCTGAAGAGGAAACAGGATCTGGAGGAGGAACTTCTGAGAGCCAAGATCAAAGTGGAGAAACTAAGAGCTGCTCGACTGAGACACGGACTGCCAATTCCTCTATAGGGACCATGAACACACACATCAGTGTTTGAAAAGTAGAGGCTCTGAGGAGCAGAAGCGGAGAAGAAGCTGAGGAGCTATCACACTCATCAGTTTTTATTTGGAGGGCTGTTTCAGAACTTGAATTTTCTCTTGGAAACATAGTGCCTCGTACACGGAAAGCCTGTTTGCATATCGCAGGATAAGCCTGACCAGTCTGTGTGTATACTTGTCATTGTTTTAATGTATCTTCATTTACACTTTTTAATAGAAGCAGTAACACAACTTGTACATGCCCATATTATAAACACTGTGAGAGCCAAAATAGGCAAAAAAATAAGAAGTGATATCAACTTTTTGAAAGGAATATTATTAGTAATAAATGGCATGTACCACGATGGTGCTTATCCTGCCTAGATCCGCCCCTATGATGTATGCATCTGTAAGCATATTATTAATGATTCACTACTAACTGGAGTATCTTAAAAAGAAAAAAATCCACTTGATCTAAAAAATCTGAACGAAAAAAGAAAAAAAAAACAGTATCTTGTAGCACTTTAAGGTATCCAAGCTAGCGGCGCTTATACAGTATTCTGTATGTTAACAAGGAAATATAAGCACAAAAAAACAAAGTTACACTTTGTAAAACTGAGAAGTGTGCAGAACCCCAGCACTGAAGCACAAGTTAAACTGAAGGCCTTAAACACGAGATGCTACTGATGACAAATCTTGTTCTGTGAGTTGCTGTAGTTACATCGAAGTGAGTTCAAGTCCTAATTCTCTCTGGTTGCTGAATTAATGGCGAGTTGGGCGATCAAAAATGTGGACTTAGATTTGCGATGTTATCGTTATTTAATGTATGTGACATTGATTGTATTGTAATGTTTGTTGGTAAATGAATGTTGTCAGTTTCTTTTACACTTTGTGCTTATGTGTATTTGTTTTTATAAAAAAAGAAAATAAATACTCCTGATTTTGTGTTTATTACCAACATGCATTCGCTCTCATGATTTCAACCTCCCTTAGGAAGATCTCTTACTTTGGTGTTTTGTCAAAATCACATGATGTCAAAGGGTACTTACACTTTTATTTCTAACATGGCATGAGTAGCACTTAAGTTTTCGTGCTTGTGAATTTATGAAGTGATCTATCATGTTGGGTATGAAGCTCGAGCACGATGTGTGGACTGGTGCAGCAGTGACCCCTGCTGGTGAGTTATGCAAAGTTTGTATTAGATATTTATTTTGTTTTCACAATATTATATGTCTTTGTGTTGCAGGATTGAATGGTGACCCTCAGTTGACTTCAGGGTCAGTCGGTGTTTCTGGAGCGGCAGGCCCAGACGCTGGCTGCAGTCAAGATGGAGTGCGGTACCTCAGTGTGATGTGGTGTAAAGCCAGTAAGAAGAAACACAAGCGCTGGGAGGGCGATGCAGTCCTGATTACAAGAGGACGCACCGCCACACTGAAAGACATGGAGGGGAAGGACATTGGAAAGGGTGAGACAGAGACACCCCAGTTTAGATTTAGTCTTTAATTATCGTCATATTAAGTTCGGTGGGAGAAAAAGGGGCGTGGCAGTTTTCTTTCCCTGTGATCAATTGGCATACAAAGAAATATGTTATACATAACTTTGTTTTCATTAGGCTTTATCACCTGAAACAAAGAATTGTGCTTTTGTCACCTTTTTGATAAGGGATTTCAAAGTCTGAGAATGTAAGCCGCCTCTCAGATAAAGCATCAAAAAAGCCAATCCCCAAACACCACTTTTGTCTTTTTGCTTAGTTTTGTACAATTCCTGGATCCCAATGGGATTATGATTAAACTGTTTGATCAAAAAGACACCCAACAACTGAGCCATAACTTGAGTCTACACCAAATGCATAACAAATTCAGGCATTTATTAGTCAACACTTTCCCTAAACTAAGGCATCTCTTTGAACAATTAACACACATTTAAGCCACTCTATATGATCTTCTGTCAACCAATGTAATACTGGACCTAGAGAGGTCCTTTTGCATTTTTGTTACCTGAAGGCCACCGTAGTTCTCTGACATGCTTGAAAAGGGAGGGGTGAGCTTAGCGTTATTCAATTGGCTTCATCCCTAGGTCCCACTGCATTCTACACACTGGTCCTTTTAAGCAAATCTTTAACATATGTCACTTTAAATGTTAATTTCATACATACATACATACATACATACATACATACAGTGGGGCAAAAAAGTATTTAGTCAGCCACTAATTGTGCAAGTTCTCCCACTTAAAAAGATGAGAGAGGCCTGTCATTTTCATCCTAGGTATACCTCAACTATGAGAGACAAAATGAGAAA